TATAGATATATATATATATATATATATATATATATATATATATATAACGTATAAGAAGCATTGATTAGTGTTTCTTTGAGAATATAATATATGCAAAAATATTTTAATTATGTAAAAGTGTGATTTTGATTATAAGAAATTTGTGTATCTTACATTAATTTGAGATAATATATCTGCACATGGTGGAACTGGCCATGATCTGCGAGTATCTTTCAGAAAATCCAATCCTTGTGAACATTTTCGGATGGCAGATCTTGTATTGCCCCAACCGCCTATTATGACCCAATAGCAAAGATTTTCCTTATAGTATTTGTCTTTGCAAAACAATATATGTAGATCTGTTTGTGCACGGATCGAAAACGAAAGTACTGCAGAAGTTTGTATAGAGCCAACATGTTCATACTGAGAACTAAATTCATATTCTTTAAATTCTGAAAATTTTTACAGTAATTTATTAGTGTTGTCATTTAGAACCAGGTATACTCGGGTATGTGGATAGTCGGGTATTACCCGAGTAATCCGATTATCTCTGGTAATATTTAGCTATCCGGGTTCCTAGGTACACAAAATATAATAATTACACACACATATTGCATTGCAATTGCATTGCTAATACAGAATTATTGCATATAATCGTATTACTCTTATTAAAATAATATAAATAGTAAATTATAAATTGTAAATTTTTATAATGTTATTTGTTACATGTAATACGATTATATGCGATAATTTTGTATTAGCAATGCAATTACAATGCAGTATGTATGTATAATTGTCATATTTCAAATACCCGGTTATCTCGGATACCCGGGTATTCGAAGATATTGACAGCACTATAAGTTATATACACTATCGGTCAAAAGTTTTTGGATTTTTTCCGTAAGTATTTTTTTGGATTCTATTTCCGTTAACCCGTTAAAGAGAATATATATCAATACATTTTTGAAAATATTTATTTTAAGTATGGTTACATGGATTAAAAAAAATTACACAGTATCAAGCAATAAATTCAACTATATTTTTTGTTTAAAAAACTTTTAACCGGCAGTATAGATACATATCTTTGATGTAAATAATTAATTAGTATTGGTATGTTTGATAAATCGACATGCATTTTGTAATATTACTGTCGTAAATATTGCGACTTTTTTCCAAGTAGAAATTTCTTACCTTCCCATCGTTGATCAAATACTAGGGCCATAGGCGTTGCAAAGGAATTTGTAATAGTCCAGTTTTTGCTTGACCATAATTTTAAACAACCTTCGGAATCGTTCATTTTGCAGTCTATTTTATTATTATTAAATGCATTTTTGCTAAAAGCCACTGAAATTATAGCGTATCTATAGTAAGTGAATTATATTGCAAATAATATAATAAAATTATTTTACGAATGAGTGTTTAATAGACATTAACAAAATTCTAATATTTAATCAAATATTAGATGCTTGCAATAAAAAAAATTTGTTATTAAATTTGCAAATACTGTATCTACTTGATCACAAAAATGTAAAACCGATTGTTTTTGTTTTGACAACTTACGTATATTAGGTTTTACAGATTCTGCATTCCATATTAAATGATTCCATACAAGAGCGCTGCCATCATCTTCTGAGAGACATATTAATGTTCTTAATTGTGAGTTTGATTCTGGCGCACCGCGCAATACAATCACTTTTCCAAAAATGTGTAACACTTGACACGCGAGAAAAGTAAACATCAATACGGTTATCGTCGTTTCTTTCATTGTGAACAGATTATATGCGCCATTTAAAAATCGAACAATTATCAAAAACGATATTGATAAAATAATATAATAAAATAAAAACACACACACACACACTATAACTTATCAACTTGTTTATATTATCACAGCAAAGTCTGAATGTCACATTACTGCACGATTTTGTGTATCAAATATACTTGAAAAGATCAATTACGACTTTTTAAAGGAAAACGACTTGTGCTTTAGTCATGAATTTAATTTAAGTTAAACAAACAATATATTAATAAGAGATTTTGTGTCGAAGTAATGTGTCTTGTTTCCGTTTACTAGTCAGACTGTTGGACGACAGTGATTTGAAACGGCAAGTGGTTGAAAGGAACTTGACTTCCTTCTAGTGAATCCGCGATAACAAATCCTCTATCTACTAACGCAACTGACGAATCAGGAAATGACGATTCTACGGAACTTTTATATTTATATCATTTTATATTAAACTAACATGAATATTAAACAGTTTTATCATCAATTACACATATTACATGCTACTTATTTGTAAAATGGGGAAGGTTGATAAGTAAATGTTTATAATATTATATAACTGGATTACGTATGATCTTATTTTTATTTTTCGTAAAGTAATTTGTATTTTACAAAAATATGTCGTTAATCTATATTTATTCTACACAATATATTCAAATAATTGATAAGCGTCGTTTATATAACTCAAAGCAACATTTTAACTAGATTTTAAATCTCAAACTTATTATGCGGCAACTTTTCAATAGAAACGAGACAAACCAAAATTGTGAATGTCTCATGAATCATCACGTATCTTTATATCGTATATCACTTACTTCTTAAAGATTGCATATGTATTTAAACTATCAAACTTTTGAAACACAAACACGTTAATAGAATTATAACAAAATTTTAGAATGGCATAGAATTTAAGATTGTTTGACATTTGAGAGACATATTAATTTTCTTGAGACATTGCTATTACAACTATCTAAAAATAGTGAATCGCGCAATATGATTACTTTCCCGACATAAAGCATCTGACTCGCAAAAAGAGATAATGTTAACGCATCTATTCTAGCTTTCACACAAGCATTAATCTTTATACTAAGTTATTACATAAAATAATTACTTTCGCATATATTGAATATGTATGAATGAATTACAACATTTAAACGAATCGCAATCTATTTATTGTTTTTGAGAAATTTAATTTGCATTTTTTTATCTAATTTAAATTAAAAAAAAATAGTAACATGAAGCTTTCTATAGAAATATTTTGTGCTGTTTTCGTCTTAAACTATTGAAATTGTCAGAATATTTTCAAGTAACCACAAGTGGTAAAAGGCAAACACCACTTCCTTTTAGCGAACTTGCGATAACAGATTACTGATAAATGCAACTGATGCATCGAAAAGCAAAGATTCTATCAGAATTCTACATATATATTATATTTTATATAAAAATATCAATCAATGTATAATATATTTTGCATAAACTATCTAAAAAGAAATGTGAGAATAAAAATAGATTTTCTGGGAAATAATATTTAAAGAGCTATTATATTTAAAGAGCTATTCAATAAATGAGCGTATAATTTATTTTTGTCATAAGCGTAGAACTTAATAAAATTAAATTTTACGGTTATTTGTTGATTAATTTGATTAAGCAAAAATCAATGATTTTAGTGCATTTTACAAGTGTGCTTTATTGATCGCATGTTTTATTTATTTAAAAACATTTATTTTGATGTATATTGCGAGCATCAATCATATTTTATTATTTTTGTTTTATCCAAAATTATTCTATCTTAATATTGAATTGGAAAACATTTATTTATTGCGAAAATAAATTATGATTCATAATTCTGTTCGGTAAATGGTCTGTTTTTGAAAACAAACGTCCTAAAAAATTAAAAGAAGACGTCTTAAAAAACCTGCAAGAAAATTAATAAAGGACGTCTCCATTCATGCTGCTTGCTACTTGCGTTTCAAAGCTGGCGTCACTGGTACTATTCGACAAATGAAGCGGTTCTTCTTTTAAAAAGAACTCTGATTATGAAAATTTGATGATTAGAAGAACCACTTTATTTGTTCTTTCGGATAATAGCGTTCATAACGTTTGGCAGCGCTGATTTTTACTACTGCAGCGCGCGTGGTTAGAAGAGAAAATAGACGTTCACATACAATAATCGCTTAAAATGTACAACCAATTTCGAGCACTGAATTAGACCATGGGATCATAGATGGATAGGCTAGGAAAGATAATTCAGATAAAATTAATTCAAGCAAAAATAAATACATTCAATAATCGTGTAACATAAAGTCCACATATTTCAGGATTAAAGATGATGAATCATTTAATCTAAATCTTTTGCCTACTTATTTTAAGATAGTGAAACTATGAAATAATATAATTTTTATTTTTATTTGTAATATTTGTATTGCCACATTTAAACTTAATCATGCATATTAACGTCCATTTTTAAGTAATAGTAAAATTATCGTATCGCGATAATGCATAAGAATAAAGATGGTTTATTGTACAATTGAATAAAACTAAAAATCAGGCTGAAATACTAGCTTTTATTCTAGCTTTTATTCTTCACACGGCCGCATTTACCATAAGGCGTATTAGGCGCAAGCTGGAGCCTCATTTTAAAATATTACTCCTCACAAATGACAAAATTAAAAATATCCTAGTTATTGTTGCAAAATAAAATACTTACTTTTAAATATTAAATTCATAATATAAAAACTAGAGGCCACTGAAAAATTTGTAAGCGGTAATTGTTTATTAAATTTTGCCTTTTTACATCATGTAATGCATGTTAACTTTTATTTTCAATAAACACTTAAAAAAAATGCGTATGAATTTGATTAACTAAAATAGACTTGTTCTTTTGAGGCCTCATAATCATGTTGCGCCTAGGGCCTCTAAAAGTATAAATGCGGCTCTGTGAGTTATAAAGGTTTGAGTAAAGAAAATCGAGAAGACTCAATACTTCTTGTAAGACTATTATGTGTGTGTGTGTGTGTGTGTGTGTGTGTGATTAAAGAATCTTGACAAGTTTAAAAGTTTTAAAAGTCTTAATGTCTTCAATATCTTGAATGATATCAATGTGAAATTATTTTCGTAAATTATCACACATTCATATACACAAACACACATGAATATACACTGAAAAAAAAAATAGTTGAAATAATTATAATTTCACTAAAATTGATAGTAAAAAGTTTCATTATTTCTCGGAACCATGCGAATAAGGTTATATAACTAGTATTATAGTAGAATTTACTATAAAAATGAGTATTCCGACTATAATTTTTTTACCATGCAATTATAGTTTATTTTATCATCGATTTTTTTTTCAGTGTAAGGAAGGATGTTAAAAATAAATCGATTTTGGCCCATGGTGTGGAACCAAAACTACAAATGGTTTCTTATAGATTTTATACCGTAGAATCACGTGGTAAAGTCTGTTTTCCTCTAGACAGCGGGGAAAGTACGGAAAAATTGAAAAAAGACCATGAAAAATGCAGTTTCTCGAGCTGGTTGAAGTTTGAAACGTTCCTGGAGCGATTTTTTAAAAATGATTTGTCGCTCTTGTCCTTTTGCAGGGAGGAAGTTTCGAGACTAACAAACAAAGTACAAAAGAGACCGATCCGATACGTGCGTCGGAAGACATCCTCATATCCGAAAAACCACCCCTAAAATCACTCAAACAATTCTAGCCAAGCTAAAAATGATTTGTCGCTCTTTTCATTCCGCACGGAGAAAATTCCGAGGCCCTCACACGACATGCAAAAGAGACCGATCCGATACATGCGTCGGAAGACACCCTTACACTCGAAAAACCCTCCCCAAAATCACTTAAACGATTCTCGCCAAGCTAAAAGTGTCTTCCGACGCATGTATCGGATCGTACTTTTTTGCATGTCGTATGAGGGCCTCAGAACTTTCTGTATGCCAAAGGAGAAAAGCGACAAGTTATTTTTGCTAGGCGAGAATTTTTTAGGCACTCTGGGGTG